TTTAATATTCAATCCAGCGACAGCCGTTATCTTATTTGGATCAACTTTATTTATTTGTTTATGATTATAACCACTAATAACGTCGTTGTGGTACTCCTAAATGCTTTCGAAATTCCAGTCACTCGTCAGTTGGTGGTCAGTTAGTTTTACTTTTTCAAAAGCTCATGTGTTCGTTCTGTGCAATAGATCTCTGTGCAATCCACTTCGTTTATTAAAACGATGACAAAATGTTTTTGAAAAACTCCACTTGAAATCAAATAACTCCGCCTCAAAACCTTTCGGTGAGATCTTATAAAAAACTAACAACGCCATCGTGTTCTCCGACACCGATTTCGTTTCATCAAACCTTTCCCTACAGATATTTTTTTAAGTTAGTTAAGTTTATGCATCTGCTTTCCTATTGGACGAACGAGCGCATTTAACTCATTTTTTGTAATACCCCTCTTTCAGTAGAGGGAATAAAGTATCATCCCTAAGTGACAATGGATCTTGTTTGATCGAAAATAATTGGGATTGAGGGAATGTAAATAATTATATATAATCGTCGTTCTATATTTTTTATTATATTGGTTGGTTCCATAACATTATTGTACGAAAACCCAACATCAAGTGATGTGTAGGATTTTAAGAAACTGAATATATATTTGAGCTCATTATTTCCGACTAGCGGTCCTCAAAGTTTACATATAATCGCTACTTCAGTTTAATAAGCTTTTCTGCAGTAGATGATCTATAGTATCTATAATATTTAAAAGATTTCAATTATAAATCTTATTAATCTTGAAAGAATAAGACTTTAGTAAGAAAGTATTGCACTTAAAGATATTTTTAACTTCAGATGCTTACTCTATCTGCAATGGGTGCGTCCCTTTTCATCCTCCCTCTTTCGGAGATCCGACCAAATAACCGGATGCTCGAAATCTGATATGAAACATAAGATTAATTTTCCGGATGTTCGGAATGAAAACCGTCTAGATGTTCGGAATGAAAAAATACAGGATGTTCGGAACATAAAGTAACAGATGTTCGAAACAAAAAATGACCGATGTGCGGAACGAAAAAATACTGAATGTTGGAAGTGAATTTTGGTGTATGTTTTTCAACATAGAAAACAATTTATTCATATAGTATATTTTGAGTCGTTGATTGTAGCAACCTCTTCTTGTACATTCAGTTAGGGTTTTTTAAAATAGTGTAGAGTTCAATCGTGAGCGATAGGTCTTACAGATAGATAGTGGGAATGAGTAGTAACACTATAAACTTCTCTGTTTTATAGAGGCTAGGTGCTGCTAACAAAAAATTGACTAATAATTCTCATACATGTTCAGCCAGCAGTTCATCAAGTGAAAAAAGACAAAAAAAGACGAAACAGATGATGAAAATATTAAACAAATTCCAAAAAAGAAAAAAACAAGACATGCTGCAAAAAAACATTAGACATTACATTTTTTTTCTTATAAGAGTTATTTATTCTCTCACTTGTGCAAACTTTTGTTGTCTTATGTTTTCTTGGGACAGACTATACTAGGAAATAAAAGAAAATAAACTATGTTATAAAAAAATTATTTTCTCTTCCGAATATCCTGTACTTTTTCGTTCCGAACATCTAGACGACTTTCATTCCGAACACCCGGTCTTTTTCATTCCGACCTTCCGGCGTTTTCATTCCGAACATCCGGAAACTGAAGTTCGGAATGGACTTCTCCGACCGATGTCCGTAAAAAAAAATGAGGACGAAAAGGGACCACCCCGAGAAAAGGGTGTGGATGAGTGTTTAGAGTCCTGTGCGGATACGACTTTTTATATTCGAACCCAGCGGTGGCTGTGCGTGTTGGTGAAGGGGTGGGCCTATCAAATACACTGATTGGCGCCCACACACACCCAGACCCTCAAGAATAATAAATAGAAAACGGACATATATTACTGGAAACGCCAGTATTTCATGTAAATCATCGCTTAATAAAAATCCAAATTCTGCTCCAAATCGAACAATCATTGCACATCGGATCACAACTTGAAATCTGTATATGGTGGAATTACTAAATTTAATTCTGTGATCACACTGAGCAAATATTCTCATATACACCCGCACACATATCTTTATAATAGCGAATATGTTTTTTCGTCCTGATTCTAAATCAATAGATGGAAGTTCACATCTAAGAGAAACTTACATCGATCGTACATATTTGACTCTTTAAATGTGTTCTATTCAGACAACTGTTGTGCATCGTAGATGTTCATTACAATTCTGTTTTGAACACGTATTTACCGTTAGCCAACTCTTATTTTCATACTCTAGGGCATGTTCTTGTTGGTAATAGGATTTGCTACACTTTGAACAAGCTCTATAGTCTGAGTTGCTGCATAATTCAGCAATTTTGTACGTTACTATCCCATTCTTGAAGGTTTGGGTGTAGTTTTGAATTTTTATAGATCATCCAAGCAAGGCGCATCCGCATCATCAAGATGCTTATCCTTTACAGTTGCATAGTGATGTACGCATTTTAATTTTTTTGTCGTAAACTATTTGCATGATTTTTGCTTATGACGCACATTGATCTCAAACAAAATTTAATAAATATTCTTGTGGACCATTAAATACGCCGTTATTAATTATGTACTCATGACTTTCTTAAGTCATCACATTTTTTATGATAAACAGCACAACGCCTTCGATAAATATTCATAAATCTTTATTGGACATCACACACTACCCTGTAGTTAAAGATTCAGGAAATCATAAATAATTTTTTTTTTATTGTAAGTGATTTCTTTCAATCAATTTTTATGTGTGAAATATTTCTCTTTGACAGCAAGCGAAAGATGCATGGTTCCATTCCGTACGAAGATAGATTACTCTGTGGTCATACGATCACGTTGCTATTCCGATAATAGCAGAGAATAAGAAGAGATATAAAGAAAGAAGTCGTAATAACAAGGAATAATAAATGCATCAAATAACGATATAAGATATCAAAAATTTGCATAGTTTATGGAACAAGTAAATCATTAAATTTCGAGTCAAATAAAATAACTGTATATTATTGTTTAAAATAGTTTTTCTCTAGTAACAACTATTTATGGGCATTTTCTCTTTATTATAATATGCGCAATTAATTTTGTTCAAATCGTCATGACCCATAAATGTAAATTCACCGTGATTGATGAGATTTAATAATCAATTAGTGTATCATAACTAATAATCTTTTTAGCGATTCATCATTACAATTGTCTTGACAGGAAAGCCTGACTTGTTTGTCATCTTTGAAATGCATAAACTAGCAGAAATATTATTCAATTAAAAAGAGTGCACACAAATAATAACAATAAGAATTCACAGTTTGAGTTTTTTTCTCGAAAGGGTACATGCGAATTACAGAATTTTAGATATTGTCGTACAGGAGAAACTTTATTTTACGAAACTTTCAGGGTAGCAAATAATGTTCAGTGCCATGAAACAGACTACTAGTTAATATATATCCCGATCTCTCTGATTTATTTCGCTGTGATGCGCAAAAAGCGTTATTTATAAACAGATTTAATAGTGGTTTGACTACATCGAATAAGAAAATATTTAAAAAATAGCGTATACTAATAATATTGAACAATAAATTTATCATAGAACTTTCTTTATTCAGTCTCTTATTATAGTAAATTCAAATCAATTGAAAGTACAGTCATGTTGCAAATATTTCCTAATAAATCCATCATTAATAATGTCTAATATACATACTTGAAAACCATGTACTTTCTTTCTCTTGTATAAAGCTGAGTACTATTAATTATTAATAACTTTTCACGATATCTGAAGCCAGTGATTTCATATCACAAGTCTTTTAGTCAAGAAAGGATGTTATACCAATTACTTCTAAGTTGGTTACCATCAGGGTGGCCAGATCTTCTAAAAAATAGGGAAAGTTTCTGAATTTGCAATATATTCAGATCCTGCTTTGCCACTGAAATTAGGCACGATTCTAACCCATTACTATGATAAGTCAATAGTGTTTCATCAATTTTCTCTATTAATCATCTTTTATATTCCTCGTTCGAATTCTGGCGTCGAATTGATTTTCGGTCATATAAAGCATTTATAGTCCGATTATCGTAATCCGATAATATGAAACCAGATAATGCTTAACTTAAAATAAAAATGAATGGTAATTATTCTTGAGAAGGTTCTATTAGCATACGTTATCTTAAACAAACTTTCTAGAGCAAATTCCAAAAGATACGAAATATGAATAAAAATACCGAGATGATGGGATTTAACGTTTTTCTTTTCTCGTTGGGCTTCTTAATCTAAGCAGAATGTATTTGATTTAGTTTTGCTCGTTTTTGTGAACGAGTTTTAAAATTAAAACAAAGCTTAACATTAAGTATCTTTTATTGATGTCTTCTTATTAGCTAAACGATATATTCGCTATATTGTCTTTTGTTTTATTGAAATATCTTTGCAAATAAAGTTCCAGTCAATGAACAGAAACGCAGCTGAACTTTGGATGCCAATGCTTTAGCGGAAGATGTACTAACTTGCCAAAAACTGCCATTTTCTGATTAATTTCTGATTTTTCAGAGATAGTTTCTGATTGTTTTCTGATTTTTTAATTTGTGATCTGGCCACCCTGGTCACCAAGGACGATTGAAAGAACGGAATCTAGCATGCATAATACCACTGAAAATGTCGGTATAAATCGTGGGCAGGTTAACTGCTTATATTATTACAGTACAAACTATTTGAACTACACAGATAATATAGAGTGTTTTCTTGGTATAACTATTAACGATCAATTACAATTACGAGATTTCGTTAGCACACGTGATCGAAACGCCACATTTGATGAGTTGCGTCAATTGAATGTTACTGTTAACCAACTTCTTTGATGGTCTGCTACGGTTGATCTTGCAGAACGATATCAATATTATATTGGTCATCAAGGCAACGCCTCTGCAGCGGAAGAAGTGTTTTTTAATTGTACAAACCCATAGTTTGGATCGCAATGCGATACTCATTTGTTCTGCATAGAATAAAATTCTTCCCGGATATTGTCAAATCTGTAGGGGCGAAAAGAAATTATTACGATTCTCCATATAGTCTTATACGTGTGACCTGTTATATTCATTTGCAATGTGATCGTGGTGGATCAAGTATGTGTCTCGATTGGCGCGAAGTATGTGATGGAAGAATAGATTGTATTGATGAAGCACATTGTTTTCAGGTGGAAGTAAATGACTGCGATGTAAATGAATATCGACGTCATAATGGATTATGTATATCGGATGAATTTTTAACGGACAATCTCGCACAATGCCTCGATATGTCGGACTTTCATACTGCAGAATACACACACAATGCGTACGAAAATAACTATGTATTCGAAAAAGAAGAACATTCGTGTCAGCCAGGCAAAGAAACTTTTTCATGCGGAAACAAACAATGCGTGACAGATTTTGATAAATGTGAGAACAAGCGATATCTCTTACTCATGGGATCGATCAGTACTCGAGGGAATTTATCAAGAGAATACTGGACGATTATGATTTGTCTAACTAAAATTCTGGATCAAATAATGAGACATCATGTTATCAAATATTATCATCATCCATTATTCATACTTATTTACAAGCTTGCGACACTTTTACTCATTTCCCAACAGTACCTGTACTATTCGGTCATGGGCATTTTTTATATTATGTAAAAAATGTTCGCCATTTGAATTTTGAATATTCTCTCATACCTGATTATATATGTTATGATTTGAAACTTCGTGATTTTCTCACACCACCATTCTTGTGTACGTAGTTATGCAATTGGCATTAATCGGAATATATAGCTTCAAAGTTGGACTTCTCTCATTAACTTGGTTAAATCATATTTTCGTAAATGCTTGATTAGACTCAACGATGAATATAATTCTCATTATTCATCATTGTATTGTTGCAAAAATGCATCGAAATGCATATCAAAACATCGTATATTTGACAATATTTCAGACTGTTATCTTAATGATGATGAAGAAGATTACAAACTAAGTTGTACGATTAATGATATTCTACGTTTCAAATGTAACAATGAAAACAAATGCTATTCGTCTGTATACCCTGGGAAAGAAACATGTCCTCCATGGCGTCTACGTAACTTGGAAGAGATTCCATTTGTACACGTATGTGACCAAATTATTCAAGTATCACCCGTAATGATTAATGGTCAAAAATCATACTGATGAAACAGAATGTGAAGATTGGCCATGTAACGATTACTATACACGATGCGATGGCTTCTGGAATTGTCGTTAAGGAGAAGATGAAGAAAATTGTACGGAAAAAATGTGTCCGCCACGTTATTTTCTTTGCGTATCACCATTTAATTACACCCTCATGTGTTTACTTGCAGAGCAAGTTAATGACGGGATCGTTCAATGTCTTGGAGCCTTAGATGAGCCTGAGAGTGTGGGTTAATGAGAACGATGAGAAACCCAAAGCCCAAACCCACTCACGCTCACATCCCCGGATATCTAGAGTATCTTGTATACGATTTTTACTAAAAATAAATATCTTTCCATTATCAGCTAAGAGATATGCAGGTAAAAAAAGTGTATTCATATTAATAGTTCTTATCTTGAGAAAAGAAGTATATAAGCAATAAAACACAAAGTGTTGAAAAAATGTGAGACCTTTTTTTCGTATAGTGAACTTTTTCGATAATTTTTAATAATGGGAGGCGCTGCCTAGGGAAAGAGTATATCTATATGATTAAGTTTGATTCTACTTTGACAGTTGTGACGTATGTTGGTGAATAAAAACCTCACATACCTTCGACAACTCATTGAATTTTCAAATAAAATAGATCTATTTGTTAACTCAGGCTATGGAAAGAAACTCTCGTCCATCTAGTGTCGCTTCCAACAAGAATAAAGGCAACGCGTATAAACTGAATCTCGTAATTTTCGAATTATTTTCTTTTTATCACATTAAAAATAAATATTTTAAATTAGTTAGGATCACAACCTGATGAAGATTGGACTCGAGCGATTCATCATGAACTCAACATAAAACGACGAACATGCACTACATTTATTCCAAGTTCTTCAGTAACTGATGATAGGTATTTTATCAACATTTTACCTGTACGTTCTTTTAATAAAAACTATAAACGTACTTTTTGTGATAGAAGTGCAAATGAGGTTCCATGTGGTTGTAAACGTCTTCGTCGTGAACATTCTTGGGATATTTCTAATGGAACAGATCCTAGATGGCGCCAAGAAAAACATACAAGGCCGGCCTACAATAATGCGTATGGCTACATACCAAATACTCATTCGCATTATATTCGATGCGATATTGAAACACAGCCAAGTATTCTTGCTCAATTAATGTATGACGTATGGAAAACTAAAAAACCAAAATTAATCATGTGTATCATTGGAGGAGCTAAATATTTCAAATTAAGCGAACGGCTCGAACGAGAATTTATTAAGGGTATTATTCAAGCTTCATTGAGAGCAGGTATGCAAAAGCAGTAAGAAAATACGTCAAAATCTAATCTAATAAATGTGGTTCTGACAGACGGTTGGATTGTAACAACAGGATTTAAAACGGGTGTTGTACAACTTGTTGGTGAAGCTATTCATGATCATAAAGTAACTAATCCACGAAGTCATATTGTTGCTATCGGTTGTTCGAAATGGGGTGCAGCTAAAAATCGAGCATCACTCATACGAGTAAACGTTTGAGAATTTCCTTTTTCTTTCTTAGTTAATATTTTAATGCGTCTTTTTTTTCTAGAAAAAAACATCAACTAATCCTACTCAGGATGCAACACTACGCGAATCAAAAATTTTAAGAGACCAACGAGATCTTGAACCTAATCATACGCATTTTCTATTACTTGACGATGGAACTTACTATGGATATGACATTGGAGATTATCGAACAAGATTTGTTATTGAAGTTTCACATTATAAAAGGGAAGATGGTACTTCTACATATTTTCAATTTTTTCATATTGCTGATTAATATTTTATTTAAGTTCCTGTTGTGACTGTAGTTGTTGAAGGTGGTCCAAATACATTATTCACGATTTACCAGGATCTTTCTAATAATATACCAATAGTATTGATTGATGTCAGTAATTCTATTTATACATATGCGTATACATGCACAATTGAATTTGTCTGCATAGGGTAGCGGCCGAGTGCCTAATCTTCTTGCTAACTTTCTGAATCGTACAGAATCAATGATTAATCGACGTGGAAAAGATGACAGTGGTGTTAATTGGAAGGAAGTAATCGATATCAAACAAGCTGATGATGTCGAAAAGTAAAATATTTATTTGCTATTATGTTTAAATGTAATCGTTGACGACTTTATTTATTGCAGATTAAAAACAAAATTTCTTGTTTATGTAGATGAAATATATGATGGTTTAAAGGATATATCAAAAGGGTCAAAAATATCAAAAGAAGAAATGGATAATTTATTTAAATCTTTTCTTTATTGTCTACAGCCAGCTATTCGATCGAAAATTCGAATATTTAGTCTTGATAGTGGTCAAAATTTAAATGATACTATTTTTGAAGCTATTGTAGAAGGTAAATTGAATTCTATCCTATCTGTATGATTCTTTTTTTTTGCTATAGCAAAACAACATAGAAGCTTGGAAACAAATAAAGCAGTTGATCGAAAACAGTTATTACGTTTGGCACTCGCTTGGAATGCTATTCAAGTAGCGAAAGACCATATCATTAAAGATGATTTAAATGATATTAGCGTAAGCTTATAGGATAATCTAATCAAAAGTTTTGAAATTTTTTATTTTCTAGTCACAAGTTAAAGAACAACTGTTTTTTGAAGCTCTTATACTTGATCGTCCACAATTTGTCAATATCTTTATCAAATTAAATTTTGATTTAGCTCAAATGTTTTATGAAAATAAAATAAATCAACCGTGGCAATTAAAATGGCTTCAGCTAAAGAGGTTATACGAAAAGGATGCCAAAAAAAGTGTAAAACAATCAGTGATTGATTTTATAGTGAACTACTACCTTTTTTTCTCTCTAGAAGGAACGTCTTTATTTACTTGATAAATGTTGTGACAAGAAGCCAATTATTTCTGGAGGAGATCTTGATTTAGTGTTGAAAAAATTAATAGGTGATTATGTTGAATCAATATATACTGATACGTCAACTGGTTTCTGGAGACGACTACGAATATGTTGTCAATGTCAGATAGGACGTGTTTCGGATGGTCGTGAGATTTTGTATACAGATTATAATGACAATGATTCTGAAGTACCTGATCCGACAGACGCTCAAAATGAGGCTCGAGAATTCGCTTATCGTGATTTATTCTTATGGGCTATATTAACAAATCGTATTGAAATGGCCAAGGTTATTATAAGTCATATGCAAACACGCATATGTTCTGCATTAATAGCGTCCAAAATACTTAAATCATATGTAAGTTTTGCCGTTGATAATGAATCAAAGGAAGTTTTACGTTCCCAAGCTGAACAATTTGAACAGTATGCTATTGAATCACTAAAATGTTGTTATAACTATGACGAAGAAACGGCATGTGAAATTGTTGTTCGCCGTATTTATCTATTCGGTGGTGTTTCATGTCTTCAAGTAAGATTTAAAGTCAAGAAATACAGCAAAAAACTAGCTTTCCTTGTGTTTTATCTTAAGGTAGCTGTTGATGCTGATGATAAAAGTTTTGTTGGTCAACCATGTTGTGATCAACTGTTAAATAATATTTGGTATGATAAAATGGAACCACTCGAATCTACCTCGTTTGAGCGTATTAAATTCGTGTCAAGTATTTTAACATTTGGTTTATTCGCACCCGTTATAATTTCATTTCGTCAAGAAAAATCAGATTCAATTGATTTTGATAATGACCGAACAAACAATTATGAAATGACTGTTAATCAAACAGAAGACGAAACAACACCATTATTATCAAAAACAAGACAAAGGTAAATATTTAATTATGAGAGTAATAAATAATCAGAGAATACTTCGATAATTTTGTTTTTCTTGGATAAAAAGTGAGAACGAATACGACCGTCTTCTAGCACGCCAAAATATTTCGGTTTCTCGATTGGAATAAGATGAGAACCGACGAATTCTTATAATACTGCGAGAGTTTTATTTTGTGGCAGCTCTCAATGCATTTTTAGCCACCATCAGTGCTTCTCTCCTCATAAATTCTTGAACGTCAGCGTATGAATGTTCGAATATCTTGCCAACCAATTGATTGAGAACTGTAGCAAACTAAGCCCTCCAAATCTCATCAATAGTGACCTCTGATTTGATTCCAACATGCAAACACAAATATTTTGGAGGATAGAAAAACGGTCTTATTTTCCTTTGTTCTTTTTTTTGTAAATAAAGAAAAATTTTATTTTTTCTTGAAAACGACTTCCTATATTCCCTCGTTCTTCGTCTCAATAGCTGCTTTCGTATATTTGATTCTCTTTCGGATGCATCATGAAGTTATTTTGTAATTTATTTAGATTAAATAATTATGGTATAAATTATTCTGATATTCATGCTTGGAAAGGAAATTGTTGTTCAAAAAGATGTTTAACTTATCTTCGTCATTTAAAAGAATTTCACGAATCACCATTTGTTAAATTTTCATATAATGCTGCTAGTTATATATTTTTTCTCTTACTGTTTTCATATTACTTATTGTTTGATTTTAATATACCAACAGATGAAGTTCCAAGTATACATTGGACAGAAATTTTAGTTATTATTATAGTAACAACAATGCTTTTTGAAGATATTCGACAAGTAAATTATAATAAATATCTGTATAATTCAAGTATAGTTCTTTTTCCATAGTTTCTGTGGCAAGATAGTCTATCGCTAACTGGAAAATTGTCTAATTATTTCATAAAAAAGATGTTTTTTAGTTTAACCCGTATTGCATCCTATATGCTTTTTTATATTGGTCTTATTCTTCGTTTTACATACGCATCTACTGACGAAGAATTATCAGTTGCAAAAATTATTCTTGCTTATGACCTTGAGATTTGGTATATTCGATCGTTAGCTTTTCTTGGTATTGCACGAAACATGGGGCCAAAACTTGTTATGATACGGAAAATGGTATGTTACACGATATTATTCTAGTTTGTTGTTTTAATTTATATTTTTAGCTCATCGATTTATTTTTCTTTATATATATTATTTTAATTGCAATGATTGCGTATGGTGTTGCTTCTCGAGCTATGTATAATTATAGTGATCCAGACCCGAATGATTTAACATTTGATGGTCGATCAATTTTTCGCAATATTCTCTATCCGACTTATTATCTTATGTATGGATCAACAGATAACGAGTTAACAGCACTTAACCGTATATAGCTATTTTTTTCTTGAATAAAAATTATAAACTAAATCTTTTTTTTTTATAGAAAATCGTGACTTTGCTACAGCTATTGCTACTCAAGTTTTATTAGCTGCTCATATGCTATTTGTTAATGTTCTTCTTATTAATCTTCTCATAGCAATGTTCAGGTATGCTTGTTCATTTTATTTCCTAAAATATGAAATAGAAGGATTTAATTTTAGTTTCACATTTGACTCAGTTCAATCTCAAACTGATCTTGTTTGGCGCTATGATCGATATGCATTAATTCGTGAATATTTTGATCGACCACCACTTTTCCCTCCGTTTATTATTCTAACTCATGTTGCTGAACTTATTAAATTAATTCTACGACATTCACCAAAAGCAGATCGTTCAACGATGAGAAGGAGACAAGCAAAAATATTTCGTAAATTAAAAGCAAAACTAAAAAAAATCAATTTTTATTTAAATTTTACTTTTTTTAGAAATGATTGCAACTAGTCGAGAAGTAGATAGAGATTGGTCAGAATTTGAAAGCTATGCGACAAATCTTTATGCTCGAACAATAGTTTCTGGTCAACCATCATCATCAGCTGCTCTTGTGCCATCAACAGCACGTCAAGAAGCGACTCAAATAACATTAGATCAAATGAGTACTTCACAAGTATCACCAAATTTAGATATGAAAGTAATTACCGATGAAATTGCATCAATTAAACGAGCTCTTGGAGATCTTCGAACACATTCTGAAGAAGTTAGATCAAAATAAAAAGCTTATAAAGAAATTTTATGCTTTTCTTTTGTTTGTTTTAGATGAATAGATGTATGCAATGGATGATCGATGCTATGGAGCGCGTTAAAATGTCTAAAGAGCCAAAACCAAAACTGAGATCAGCAAGAACAACCATTGGTAAGATTATTTCATAAGTTTTATTTCATGTTTAATCTGCTTATTTTTCTAGATTTACAACCAGTTGACGAATGACTTTTGCTGTAATTGATATCTATGCATTTGTATCACAAATTTTTATTATTTTGTTGTTGTTCTATTAATTTTATATTCCTTAAAAACTAAGATACTTTTTCTCAAGTTCTACTAATATTGTGCTTCTAATTCATTATGTATCGTTGGTAAATGGCTTTGCTGAGTCTCTCTTGCAATATATTCATCACGAGATTCATGCTATTACATAATACATCATTTCAAAGCTTATCTCATTTATTAGTACATTTAGTATTTTAACTATAACAGTAAATGATTTGGAAAGACATCATGAAACACATTAATAAGGAAATATTCGTATAAAGAATTGCATTTCATATTGTATTATCGTAGTGAATGATTATGATTGTTTAACTGTTAGTTATATGTTTCTATTCGATAGGTAATACATAGAAAAATTGCAATGTTAACGCTGTCACTATTACTTCTCTTGTTCTCACTTCATTGAGAAACGTACTTTTATGAAAACATCCGCTTTGAAATCATCTTAACGTTTTATATAATCGAACCTTAAGGGCTCTCGCTTTCCTTACTTAAAATTTTTGCCTTTTTTCGCTTTTTGTGGTCATTCTATAGTCCCAGATAGTTTTTATTTGCTGATCATATTCTGGATGTGGGTGTCGTTGTCGCTGTCGCTGTGGATGGGACTAAGGACAAAATGAACATAAACACCCACACCCCGTTGTGGCCGGATCCGGCCCGATTTCTCGAATTCACGCTGATTTCCTGACGCAGTTTACCCATACGGCAGCGGTCACCGTTTCCTAGTAAATTCTGCCCAATTCCGACATCCGGATACAATTTCTAGATCTTTCTATTGTCTTGGACGTGGTTCCGCAAGAAGGATACGCCAATTTTTCATGATTATTGCATACGTGTTGGGTACTGCCGGTTCCGTAAAGTGGTTCTTAGTGCCAGCAGCACGATTCTGCCATCTCCTGCTCCAGTATCCTACACTAACAACAAGCGCAAAATTCATCTATGAGCAGATTTTGAGTAAAATGATCACAAGCGATTGCAGTGCTCATCCTTGAGTATATAAGACTGTAACTTCGGAAAAAACGTTCATTTCATGCAATTCAAATGCTGTGTGTAGGTCAGTCGTCTTCGAGCGAACGGAGCACGAAAATCACCTTGAGCAGATTTTGAACGAGCCGCTCACTCATGGCCATACTGCTGATCGTGGTTTATGCACGATCTTGTAGTTGTAAGAAACGTTTTATATGGATAAATCATGAATAGTGCAGTGGGTATGTATCTCCTGGTAGAAGCGAGCGTGTCAATCATTGGTGCATATATTGTGAGCGTGGTGGGTGGAGCTCATCATGGGATCATGGTAGCATAGATAATTGGGTGTTGCTTTTTCGAGTGCTTCCAGGAGCTTTAGGCCAGAAGAAATGCGTTTCCTTGAGATTCGTGCTGGAAAAATGCCCTATTCTGTTCTCTGGAATCATACAGATGCTTGTCTGCGTTTTAGTAGGATTCGGACGCTGAAGGTATTTTTGAACGCTGATGGCGTTGTTCACACGAGATGGCTCCCAGGCCAAGAAGTACGGACCAGCTCTCACCGGAACCGATCGTACGCTGGGAAAACTTGCAGCCAGGCACGGTCACCGGGTTTCTGTATCGAATTCTTGACATTTTCCGGTATTATCCTATGGCGTTCCGCGGGGTTCCTGTGGAAAGTACGCGGGAACCTGCAGGAGTGCGTGGAAATGGCAATGAATCTGGATCATTCCCGGCGGGAATTGGAGATCGGAACCAACGACCTGGGTAAATATTGATCGATACGTATTTAAAAGTGAAAGAAAAAAGCGATTAATTAGAACTAGGAAAGACGTTATTCATGTTGTTCAGTTCTTCATTTACATGAGCTTTGAACAATTCTTCGGGTTGTATCTACAGATTCACTTTTGAAATAGCTTTAATTTTTTATAATTCGTAAGATGAAGAAACGAACATCAATGGTTCTGACTGTCAATATTATCCTCGCACTTACATCTGCATTTATACCGTAGAACTCTTGGAAATGCTAAAAATCTGACGACAATAGAGATTTCCTTCTTTCTGACTTCATGAAGTAACAATCTTGATTTGATTGCAAATTACATTAATTAGGTTTAAAATAAGTGCCGATCAATTCGATGGTTGACCTACTACTGATAATAAATAAACATTTAAAAGCGAATAAAATTTTAAAGCCTCATTGACTATTTTCTGTTGTGCTAATTTGAAATGCATGAACATTAGTTACTTTAAATCTTTATTATGTATGATTATGAAAAAATATTTTTATCGAATTATTTATTACAAGAAAACAAATTTGAGAAATACAAAGTTTCACCTGAATAGATGTTTTCGTTGTTGCTGTTGCTAACGTATTCTTCATTATGAGCAAGTTATCTTTGCTAATTTCGGTTCTTCTTTTATAGTTATTTCCATATTTTCTTCATTAGTATCATTTGTTTCCTTATTACTATTATTATTATTTTCTTGATCAGATTGATTTATATTAAAATCTATTAATTGTGATTTTAATCGCACATTTGGATATAAATTTGCCTGGAAATCTTGAATACATGATGATAGATCTTCATTTTGTTTTTTCATGCATATATATTGATTACTTAATTCATTAATAGTGATAAAAAATTGATCTGCATCTTCAATTAATTTAGCATTCAATGAAGCATTTTTCCGTCGATCTTTATCTATGAATAAAATTTTCAATAAAAACTTTTTTTAATTTTAAGAAAAACCTAAACTGATTTGCGTTTATTCCATATGATCTTTTCTTATTTTCATTTCAAGTGCATGTTGTTCTAAACTAGAAGATAATGATAATGATAATTGTTTCAATCGAGATTCATATGATTCAATTAAAACTCCATATTCTAATTTGAATTTATTTATAAGAATTTGTTCAGCTTCTGCAAACAAGAAAGACAACTCGAAATAATTATTTAAGAAATTCTAAATTACCAATTTTTTTTCGTAAAACTTGATATTCATCACACGTTATTTGTGCATTAACTAACAATTGATTAAGATTAGCTATTTCATGTTTAAGTGCAATATTTTCTTGCATTATTTGATCATAATCCATTGATTTTCGTTCTTTGTTGTCGGATCTTTTTGTTTTCTTTTTAGTTAATGACTTTAAATTTGCAGGTTTTTTTACTGAACTATGCGGATTTATATACTGCTGATAGTTTATAATTAAAACATGTACACCATCAATAGTGTGATTAGAACGACTACGAATGGAAGTAGCACTTGATATTTTAGCAAACATGATTAGAGCATCTACAGAAAGAATAGAAATATCTCAAGTTGATAAAAAAGAGAACGAGATTGTAATGTTGATATTACGATTGATATATAAAAGACTTACATGGCTCGTTGGCGTGAGTAGAAGTTTTCTTTGACCATCGAATTATTTTACCAAAATTTTGACAATAACCGATTAATGCTGAATCAGGTAGATTATTGAATTTAGTAATAACTACGGTTGATTCACAATCAAACAGCATATCTATGAATTACAAAAAGAAAACAAAGTCACATTGTGTAGGTCCTGAAAAGTATTGGTCTCTTTTAGTTTTATTGATAAAACTAAAATTTGAATTAATAAGATGAACGATTTGCTCTCGTTTTTTTTTCTCCAAAGTATCAATTATTGATTGTTACCGGCATCTCTAAGTTTCAAAAGTTCTAAATACTTTCAAATATTGCATGGAATACAAATCGATCGAAGCAGGTTGAATTTATAAGAAACTTAATACTTAACTGTATTGATCTTGATATGTCTCTCTTTCACTTCCTCTTTTCTTCTCATTCTCTCTATTGTTCTTTCGTATTTAACCTTGCCATTAATATGCGATAGATGCATCCTGGAGATAACATGCAGCAGCGAAAGCCAAAAAAAAGAATATCATTAACAATAAGGAGCTCTTTCAATTTATCGTTAGATAACAGCGTGGAAAATCAAGGGGTGTTGCGACTAAGGGAAGAATGAGATGTGTTCTCCTCTCCATCTTTGGAAATTTCGTTTTTTTGCTCGATGATTTTCAAAAGAAATCTTTTTTTGAAGCTAACAGCAACGAATTCTATTGAGATAATCAAGAGCTACAAGCTGAAAAATATGGTATTTCTATATCGATCGTTTTGGTGAATCTTTTTTTTTCTGTTTTACTTAGATCGATACAATTCATATCAATTCTTTTCCACCTTACCAAAGAAAAGGAAAGAAATAAGCTAATGTTCACACTAATTATCGTGATCCTATATCAGCTATAAAAAACTATCATTCATTTATCATCCGCTTATCGAATTGACAGTACAATCAACGAAAAAAAAAATCATGATCTGTTTTCTTTCTTTTTTTTTACCATCGCAATTAGATCAAATTCACAACTTTCAATAACTAATGATGTGTAGTGGTGAAATATTTATTGGTAATAAAAAGTAACTGATCGTTTTCTAAGAATGGTGCTATCCAGATATCAATGAATTTCTTCCGTGAATGAATGAATGAATGAATGAACCCTATTTGTGTTTCATTGATTGGCCATTCATATGTATAACTTACAGCGTTTCTAATTGAAATCTAAAACAAACTGTCAAATTGTGTAGTATTTTCGTAAATAAAGTGTCCAAAACAGAGATATTTGACACATGTATCTTTTTAATATTAAGCTCAAACAAAAAAATATTCGATGAGTGAAGAAAAGTTCGCACAGTGAGAAAATAATTGTTTCATCTTCTCGCAAATTTATTTCTATTATATAGGGAAAATCGAAGAGTTCGAAGTTTCCATATTATGACAACCAAAGTGTCATTTCGGCATCGCAGCGGTCACGGATAGTTTGCCACTAGGGTGGATTCTTGATGTTAGAAACGCTGTGTATAGCAAGTGACGATAAACTATAGTCAATCGGTAAATATGTAGTGTTAATGTTTTTGATTGGTCACTTTGTGTAGATTATTGATCGGTATAAATATTTTTTCAGAAAAAAACGCCGTTTGATGGAGAAAAATTTTCTCTATCAATTGTTTGAAAAATCAAAACTTCGATCTATTCCTTTTTTCAAGAAAACATCGTAAAAAGCGCAGATAATATTGATTCACCTCACGGAAATACTGTTTTTACTCTACCGACGTACTTTTAGTTCATATATTGCTAAGATCAGTCTTGTCTTGTTTCTTTTTCTTTCGAATTGTTCTGTTAAACTGATCGAAAAACAGTCGCCTGTAATAGTTCATTTATGGCCAACAAGTCAAACATTAATTAGGTTCATTATCTTATCTTTTGATAATCTAGAAATATTTAGATCAAGTATGTACAATTACTTATTGTTATTTCCTTTTCCCTCCATATAATCGATTCTCTCTTTCAACTCTTATCTAGCTGCAGATAGAATATAATCAATTCGAATGTACGTATTTGATAAGAATTCGCAATGGCAATGCAATGATAGAAAGGAAATTTTTACAGCTGAAATAATTTCGCCTAATCTACATCATATACTTTTTATGGATCATCTGATAGATATCACTCGAAATTTCAAGCGTTACTCATCATTTACTTCAGTGAATTAGGCAACCTTTTTATTACGTATATGAATACATTGTATATGATGGTGTGAAGCATTCACTGGGATAAGGTGAGAAAAAAAACAGAATCGATGATGATGAGTCATGGTTTTTATTTTGTGAAACACGGCCTGACAGGAGTGTTGAAGTATATGAGCCTGCCCACGTAAGCCACGACCGATCACCATAGAGGGGTGCTTAATGAAGTTCCTAGATGAGCGCAAAATCTATCTCGCCTTGTAGAGTATGTTATTTTCGACCTCGAACCAAATTTTTAGCCTTATTGGAGAACTTCCTGTCGAGATATTAGGATCTTTCAAACGAATTTTTAACGACTTTTATATGAAAATAATAGAAAAATTACCTTCCAAATTGGTTTTCTCTCAAGATATGAGTGGAATGGTGCTCAAAATAACTTTTCAAGCACTACGAACCTGAGGTTCACCCAAGGCTGCAGTCAAAAGCTTGGGATCTCTGATTGAGCAAAATCGGGTGTGGCTTATGTGGACTGGCTCATATACGGTAGAAATATGGACCCATCCCCCGGCTCCCCCCTCCTACAGACCGGGACAGAAAAATTAATTAATTAGTTGATTGGCTAATTAATTAATTAATTTCTCTGTCACGGTCGGTGATGGTTTTGAACAAGGGGGAAAAGCGGATCCCAGGATCCATTGAGATCCGGGATCCGCTTTTTCCCCCTTGTGAAAACATATGTGAAGACAAATATCGATTTTCTGAGATTTTGATCGTTTCCAGTAAACATCTAGGTGAATTTTTGTAAAGCAACACGAGTGATTCTCTCGATAAGTTGGATTCCAGAAAAATTTGATGAGCTATGTCTTTACCAAAAACATCTTAATTGCATGATTCAACTCTATCAAATACAAAATCTGTTGCAACCTTATATAACAGATGCAAATGGAAAAAAAAGGTAACATATTATGTACTCCATAAAAGCAGTTATATTATTTTACGAAAAAGATTTATTTCTTTACCAGAGAAACTTGTGATTTCAATGGACCAAATAATTTAAAAAGATGCACAGAACAGAAAATTATAACACAACTTTTGATTTTGATCATGATTAGTCTACAGACTCACACTATTTATATTGAAATTCATTGTTTTGTATGATAATCGATTGGTGGTTGATTTTTTTCAACAAATAGATTGACATAAAAGCAAATATTTTCCATCAATCATACTTTTTGTTGGTTTTCTTGATAGAATGGTGAGGGATAAGGTGATGGTTGTGGGTAAGCTGGCGGTTGCCCATAAGGTGGTAATCTATTATAGGAAGGAGGTGCATATGGATTCCCTTGTCCATATACAGGTACATTACTTTGCATAGGCAAAATACCCATTCTTTTATTAAATTTTTTGTTGCAATAGATAACAAGTATCATGATAATGACGAAGCCAAAAACCGACGATAAGACAATAGCTGCAATGATTGGACCACTAACAGACCTTGAAGAACTGCTGCTTCCAGAAATTCGTCCTTCTGCACATAACGAAATTAGAGTGACTAATAGAATATGTATATAAAATGCTTTCATCTGTAAAAATTTATTTTGTTTCCATAATGCATTTTATATATATATATATATATATATGAGAGAAAGAAATGAGAAATCAACTATTCACATATTCGTGACGTCAAATGGATTTTTTTATGTCCACAGAGCGACAGTAGTTTTGTTGTTTACGCCATCAAGCTTTATTCACTTTTCTTTTTCTTGTTAACGACTGACGTGGGTTTTTTTTTGTTGCTTTTCTTCTTACGTGCAGCTTCCCATGTGTTTCATTACGATGAAACTGTGGCGCAGTTACGGCGTAACTGCGATCGCACTGTGACCCGTAATTGCGCCGTAACTACGCGTAACTACGATGAAAAATTCGCAATTACGGGTAGTTACGGTGAAAAAATCCCAGTTATGCATAACGGCGTCCACGTTTTTCGCAATTATGGGTTACAGTGTCGTCGCAATTGGTACAAAAGATGACATAGATTAGATTTTCACTTTATTTGTACTTTTATTGTGAATTTAAAATATTTTTGCACAAAATAAAAAATTTAAAACTAGAAAATTAAAATTTTTATAAAATATAGAAAAACAATTTTTAAATTAAAAATTTTCACAATAAAAAATAATTGAAAAATTAAAACCTAAAAAAATTTACAAATTTACAAAGTTAAAAGTTTAAAGAAATTTTAATTTTAAAAATTAAGGAAAATAAAAAATAACTATCTAGAAAAATTAAAATATTAACATCTAAAATAATTTTTAAAAATTTAATAAATAGAAGAAAAAAAATTTAATTACAAAAAGCTGAAAAACTAAAAAGATTTAAATCTAGAAAAATTTTAAAAAAATAAAAAATGTATTCTACTGCTTATAGTAGAATGATTTATGAAAGAAAATGTGACGAGCACTGCTATTTATACTGATTTTCTGTGACTGTATTTTATTGTTAGAGTGTAGCCAATTACAAATAAGAAGGAATAATTTATAATTGGCCATTTATACCTACAAGGGATCGTAAGATGCGATCACTAAGACGCAGTTACGTTGATCTTCATCACAGTACGCGTCGTTTCTTATAGAATCTCCACTACGATCAATGCGCCATAGTTACGCGTAACTGCGACGCAAAATTGGCGCTGCGCGTAACTGCGGCACAGTTGATAAAAAAGAGACGACATGGGTTTTTGACTAAAATTTGTTTGCTTTTCATTTTTCGTCCTGCTATGTGTTGTCAAAAATGAAAAATGAACTGTCGAAGACACTTGATTATATGTTAGAAATGTGAGCGAAAACTGTACATTCTCCTGCGTGGTAATGCGAAGTAGCAGAAGATGAAATAGTCTGTAAGATAAGAATTAAAATATTTTCCTCATTTAGAGCAGAGCTTAAAAGCAGTTTACCTTGTATATTTAAAGTCTTTTGTCCAATAGAATGATTACTTTGAAACAACATATTATTATTATTATTATTATTGTAACTATCTTACCGTTACATGAGAACCATTGTAAGCTGATCGTTTAGACTAAATCAAGCATCTAACTTCATTCTTACGGGCGAATAGCACATTAATAACTGTCTGTCTACGTTCATTATTACTTACAGAATTGCATACTGTCTTTATATTGCAGATCTAATCTACAATGATGATTCTAAAATCTCTGTGCATACAGTTTTCCATTCTATTTCATCAAAAAAATGTTTATCTGACAGAAAGCTACTCCTATAAGTCTTCAATACTTTTATTCATCTTCAGTCTTCAATAGATTGATGATATTACTCAGAAAAAATATTATCGGTAATATAATAATTCGTTTATACTTATTTTAAAACGATATTAAATATTGTATTTTGATGAATCTTACGTTAGTCCCTAATCACTGTCTCAAATCATTTCATAATAACAATAAATACTAGTAAATTTTCAAAATACAAAAACCATATTTGATAGCTAAACAAAATTGAATCAAATGATTTTTAAGATAATGACAGGTAAACTGTTTATTGAAGTTGTATACTCAATTATTTGTTTGGCATTCATAGGCCAGTGAAATATTACAAAATAAATAATAAACATATGTTTTTTACAGTCATTCATTCAGTCGGGCTCTGAATTGGGTGTGGGTGTCACTAAAAGGTAAAATAAGAGTAGCACCCATGTTCCCAAACACACAACTAATTACGTTCTCTGTATTCATTTAGTGTGAATAATTAGACTATTGTACAGAATTTTTACTTATTATGTTTATGTTGTTATGTTATATACATACATCGCAGTGTTCTAATAAATCCCGAGGGGGACGTCTTTTGCAATCATCTTTTCGCTGGAATCCTGACAAGCGCTGCGATGTATGGCTATACGTGATCTAATTAACATAAATTAGTTTATGTTTATTCATTCTTTTTTCAAGTTTTTTTTTCTTTCGTGCTTATCTTTCCTCGTGCTCAGCTTTCACTAATCCGATTTGTTTTTAGTCATTTCATTGATAAAATGAATTATTCGAATTATAATTATTTTCTCGTCTTTCTGCTCAAATATTCTTGTTGTTCTGATTAAAAGCTCGCGAATAAAAATGATGGCATTCGCGCCTATACATTATGCGCATGAACAAGTGAAATACAATACATGATTGATCGAAAGACGCATTTTAACTCCGAAGAGATTGATTCATAATAAACGTCTTAAATCTAAGCATGATTTTTTTGGTTGCTGGAACACATTTTGCGTTCTGCAATTTAGTGCTCTTCTTTGATTATACTTGCAAAGACTCACTCAATCACAATATCTACCTATTTGAAAAGCAATCGAAAAGAACTATGGAAGCAGTCGTACGCGACAAAATGATTTATTGCATTACTGAAGCATTAGGCAATCGACCAATGAAGAAGTATATGCTAAAATAGATGAAATAAAACAATTTTCGAGGATTATTAAGAACAACAGCTGCAGTGTGTTGAAGTGAATTTTAAAATGTTGTTCAAATTTAGAAATAGACCTACGAAATTCTATTCAAATAAAATAGCTCTAAAAAATATTCAACGGCGGCTGACATTCAACCTTTTAATTGGCATTGGTGCCAATCACTAACCGGTCACACATTTGTACATCAAACTGTAAATTACTTTACAATACCCTCTAATTCCATTGTTTGCTTTTTATATCTTCAACTGCACAAAACAACCATGTTAATTAACTTTATCAGTGTGATAATCAATAGAAGTTAATATTACCTGAAATTTGAACAATGAGCATTTGATGATAATGCATAATAAAATATCATGTATCTACATATTTTTCAAATGATCGAAAAGTTATAAACAGAAACTAAGAAAAACTGTTTATTCTGATGTTTATCAAAACCTTGGTAACAAGAAACCAAAGCACTCAGTAATTCAGTACTAATAACAATAAAAGTACACGAAGGAACAACAATAAAACAAATCAAAGACAACATATTTGAATGAAGGCAATGAATAAAAATGATGTGAAACGTCTCAAACGATATATGTATGTATTTCTATAATGCTTAATATCGATCAAAATGAAATTTTTTGTAGATAATATGAATCGAATTTGAATTAGAAACAATAAAAAAGACTAACGTCATTAAGTAAAATTTCTATAGCTGTATATTATTAACTTCAAATCATTTATTCTGTTATTGCGTTTATAGAATATTTTTTGTAAAAAATCTAGTTGTTCGATGTACATTGTTGATTATCAACAACGGATGTTTTATTCGAGTAAATATACAAATAATTAATTCATAATAGCAATATTGTTAAGAAAAGTTTTTTTTTTGAAAAGTTCTTATTGAACTTAACATCAATGGTTTAGATTTATTCCAGTAAAAACAAACCGACAAGTTCCTCTTGCATTATTCTAAATTATAAGATTATTAAAATTGATAATAATTTAATATCTTCTATTAAAAAATGTCTATGATCATTTTAAAAATCTACTAGAAAGTTACTTTTCGATTTATTTTATTCATCGAAAATTCAAAATTATTTGTACAAAAAAGAAATATCTTTCAGTCACAATTTCGTTTTCTTTTTTGTGCATAATCTGCATAGATTTTTCAAACCGTTAAACTAGCGAAAGTTAAAATAATATTTATTTAACATCACAGAAACATGATGTTGATTGCAGAATTGAAACAAAATCTGATCGCATATATAAACAGCGTGAGAGTTTATAGAATATTTTTTGTAAAAAATCTAGTTGTTCGATGTACATTGTTGATTATCAACAACGGATTTTTTATTCGAGTAAATATACAAATAATTAATTCATAATAGCAATATTGTTAAGAAAAGTTTTTTTTTTTGAAAAGTTCTTATTGAACTTAACATCAATGGTTGAGATTTATTCCAGTAAAAACAAACCGACAAGTTCCTCTTGCATTATTCTAAATTATAAGATTATTAAAATTGATAATAATTTAATATCTTCTATTAAAAAATGTCTATGATCATTTTGAAAATCTACTAGAAAGTTACTTTTCGATTTATTTTATTCATCGAAAATTCAAAATTATTTGTACAAAAAAGAAATATCTTTCAGTCACAATTTCGTTTTCTTTTTTGTGCATAATCTGTACAGATTTTTCAAACCGTTAAACTAGCGAAAGTTAAAATAATATTTATTTAACATCACAGAAACATGATGTTGATTGCAGAATTGAAACAAAATCTGATCGCATATATAAACAGCGTGAGACTTTAACATTATATTAGTCAAAATTCTAATTGAATTCGTATAGAAATCTTTGATACATTTACAAAAAAATGACGATGTATGCAGAGAATGCATGATACTACGAAGACAAAGATGTATGCTGATATATGTTCGACCATAACTCAAAGGGGATCCCCAGGTGCTTTGTTTCATTACTAAATAAAAGAAAGATCTAAAAGATAAACAGATTTTGTTTTGTTGTTTTATTCATTTATACGTAACAAAGTAGTGCTAACTTTTTGTATTAATGTTAGAATTGACTCTTTCGATACAGTTCAGTAGTATTCGATTGATGATTCATCAATATATATGTATGTGTAGGACAGAATGAACATGTAAACAACGTTCTTAAAACGAAATTGAATGACACAACATCGTATTTACAAATGAATACTTTGAAATATTGTTAACAATAATTGTGGGAATCCTTCAACATCGATGATTTTTCTCTATTTATTCACACATAATTGATTGAAGACTTGAAATTTTTTTTCTTCGACAGCCTTACAAAACGTGTTGATCGATTGGTGTTAGCATGGAAATCGAGTGCAATATCAAAGAACTAATCTATATCAATCAGAGTCGCTCTGCTGTTTTCATTCCAGCTTGATAAACTATAAATTTTAAACAATATTTTATTTTTTTCAAAGTCAATTATTATTTTTTTTTCTCTTCACATTTATTGACATCGAAATGTTTGACAGGGGTGTTCGAGAGTAGCAACATATTAAAGGCAAGAGAAAGAAACGTTTTCTTTTTCAAACGCTTCCACAATTCTCCATCTCGTTTTTCTATCGGCACTAAAACACATTATCGGTAACAATCTTGTTTTTGTAATTGCTGCAAATTTCTGACGTCTATTTCAGAATTACTGTTATTTTTCTGTTCTTCTTCTTCTATAATTGTGCATACAACTGCATGAAAGTATAAGAATACGAAAGAATTCAACATTTTAACAGCCATATTTGAAGGAACATGAGTACGACAACACCACGTCAACCTGAACAACCATTGCAACGCAGTCAAACGGCTGATAGTTCTTTGAGCAGACGTCGAAAAAAATCGGCTGATAGAAGACAAGCAACACCGCGAGAATCGTTTGCTCCACAAACTCGTCCTACTAGTTTACATCGCTATAATAAATTATATCGAGGTCCGCCAACACCGCCACCGGAAGTTCAATATGATCGAGAACGAAGTTTTATTCTTGATGCTAAAGCTGTATCGAATATTTCTAATGATTATTCAGTAGCTAATCCTAAACTAGGTTCAGTTATTCCGCCATACAATGCTCAATTAGATAGTCATGTTGATAATTATTTTAAATTCTTCAGTATAAGAAAGACTTTAGAAAAAACTGGACAAGTATAACATATCTTTCTATAACTAAAATATCATAGATTGAATTGTTGCCCTATTCAGGCTGCTGGACACGAATCAACAGCAGGCCAAGTACATGATCGATTTTTTACAAATGGTCATGGCTATCGTTATTTGTCACTTCGAAATAAATTTGGTTCAGGTAAAAAGAACAACAACGAAAAATAAATTTAAAAAAACGGAACACTATTAAGAAAGATTGATATATTAGGTCATTCAGTTGAAGAAATTCGTGGCCATGAATTATTTCTAAGTGATCCAAAACCAATTGTTAATTATAATGGACTTTTCGGTATGTTGTTAAACGAAAATTAAATTTATTAAAAAATAATCATTGCCAAATTTTCCTATTGAATATAAAAAAGGTTATCGCCGTAACACACCATCACTTCGTCATCAACCAACAATTGGCACAAAAAAAATTGACACGTATAACTATACTCGTCTCGGTCGATATTCCATTATTGGCTGTGGCAAAACATATACTTTCCATTGTCGATGTAAATTCGATCAGCCATGCCGATGTCACAATCAAGATAAACTTTGTCCTTGTGTTAAAGCATAAACATTAAAATAAGAATAAATATGTATCTAATATTGATGACGAAATATGAGAAATCATAAATAGTTCGTGCATTTGATATTTCACTTATACATGATTCTTCATCAACTTTCGAACGACACTCATTAATACCATTACAACGAGCATCTGCATGTACACAGTATGAATCATCACAATCAATGAGATGTTCAATTGGACAAATAGATAAATCATCATTAAGACCAACAGATGTTTTTGATGTCAATCTGGTAAAAAATAATTTAAATTGATGATAACTTTCATCATAATCACTAATAGAGTTAGGTGGTCGAATAAATTCAAGATAAATTGTATTACTATTAGATAAATAATCATCCGATTGACGACTTAATGATGTTGATTGGCTTACATCAAAAATCATAGGACAATCAAATGTAATTGTTTTATCGTTCTAAATTTAAAAAAAGCAAGGTTGTTATAAAGTCCCCCTCCCCTCCCCCGAAAAAACAAATAGACGGCTACCCTATATTAGAAGGCCATGGTCTTCTAATACGTCTGTAATTTCTCAGGTTCGAATAGGATAGCCATATATCACATCACAAACGAATGAGAAGGATAAACAATATAGGAATCTACTCCATATGTGGAAAAAAATTAATCTCTAATATGAAAAAAAATTGTCTTTAGTATAAAAAAATTAATAGAAATGAAACGTATTGAAACATAGAACATTCTAAATTTCAGACGTATTAGAAGGTCATCCTAATTAGGAGGCCATGGAAAAATTAATGATATACCGAGACACTGTATCAGAGCATGGCCTTTTATTCTGGGAGAGGGGTTACGAAATTCATATATATTTTTAAACATACATCTCGAATTCTCAAACAAGGCATTCTTGGTACTAAATTAAAATAATCATGATCATAATCATCTCGTATAGTAGGTATTGGATAAAAAATGAATCGAATATGATCCCTTAATGATGCTCGTAATTCCATAGTGCAGTCTTGCATAGGTAATACTTCATTACCATTCTTGTCATCTATATATAAAAAGAACAAAAAAAAGACGTTTATCTCTTGTTGATTCTCCTACTCCTTTTATTTATATTAGAATTGAAAATTCTTACCGAATTTCTGATATGGATTTCGCGCATAAATGAATCCCGATGGCCATCTACGAGAAAATATACAAATCCATCGTCAAATAATCATTAAAGAAATAGAGAGAACTCAAAAGAGAAGAAAAACAAGAAATCGCGTACGTCGTTAAATTAATGAACATTGACTGAATATTAAATTCATATTGTTCTTTACAATACGAATATAGTGTTTGATTAATGATGGTACGAGGTTGCATTACAACTAAAATAAATAAAAATAATCAAATATAGTGTGTGCTTTGATTAAAAATAATTTAACTCATACAGAAAGGTATTTGCTTATTGAACTGTTCTTCATCAGTAGTAATAGCGTTAGTAACAGTCATGATAATACGCATAAAGTAAAGAAATAGACGAAGTACCATTGGGTTGTCCATTGAAAAGATTGCTCCCTGTTTGTATTGTATCGTTCTTTTTTTTTGTCATAAGCAAAAGTAAATACAGGGTGATGTTTGATCCTCTGTCGAGAGAAGTGTACCACCGCTATTATTAGGCTTCTTCGTCTGTTTCCGGTCGGAAGATGACAGCGAATGGTAAAATACATGCGCACCGGAAAATCATACAACAACAATTTTCTTTCTCCTCCCATTCTAGTTCAATTGTCCTTATTTATAGAATGAGATGAAAAGCGAAGAAAGTAGAAATTGAAATATGATAATCAAAGACAAACGTTTCACCTATTATAGAGACAAAAGGAACCCATTGAAGAAATAGACTTTTTTCTCCGAACAAGATTAGCAGGTGTTGTCTAGAAAAGGATCTGTTTCTTTTTGTTTGTCTTTTCTTTTCCTGAAAAGAACTCTTTTCTTTTTCTCTGATTTAAATATAAAATAGGAATGAGTCGAGTACAGGAAAAAAATTGCTACAATATATATATATATTCCAACGAAGCATGACGCACATGATGAAGCGGCCTTGCTGATTGCTTGTCTGTCTAGTTATTTTCAATAGCTAAATAAACCATGGTAGAACCTTGAATAGAAACATGGTTGTAATTTGAAATAAACGGAAGTATTTTATTATATTGAATAAAAATTCTCCACAATGTTCAATAAATACAATAGTTCATTTATTGTTTTGTTTTTATTAAAAAAATACAGCAAAGAAAAAGAGAAATTATGATTTCTTTTTCTTTTCTTTGTAAAAGCTGAGGCTTGTTTTTTTTTACGTTCCCATGAATCGATATACATTTATGGTAGTAGTAGTGAGAATCTTTATTTTTTTCGTTCTTGAGGGTGTGCACATATATGTATGTAAACAGAAAAAAAGGTAGAGGTAATCAATGTTTGTGTTGCAAATTATTGGTATTGATCAAAATAAACGATTTTTTGAATCTATAGACTATTACGATTTAATACTATACTAACACAAGGCGATATTTATGTATTGTTCTGAACGATTATAATTTGGGGTACGTATAGTCGGAGATTTTATTTTATGAATAATATATCAAAGGAATCCATTAACTGACTATTACACATTTTCTGGTGACGAAACAATCAAAGTAAATTATTCTTTTCATTGATTTTCTACATGCTTGAAATGATTCAAGGTTAGACAAACGGACATGACTGTTTTGCTTCTCATTGTTGTATGAATTTTTTCAAATAGGCTTTAGACTATCTATCACACCTACAAGCTAAACTCATTGACATCAGAAGTAATCAATGTTAAATTTTATCAAAGTTATTATACTTTCCAAAAGCAAAGAAAACTAAAATAAACAAAAGACTGAGTTATGTTTTAAAAGCAATTAAAGATCTTTATTCCTCGACTGTCAAATTATATTTTTGTATTAAATTATTAACACGGCTTCGCAAAGACAACAACCTAATTAGACTGATAAACCAGTTTGAGTTCATACCTATTAAATTCTATCAATCGGTTATTATGCTTAAAAATAGGTTTAGTAATAAACACCTGTTCTCAACGCTTTCTTAATTGGCAATTGAAATAGATTGTTGCATTTTAATTGCTTCCAAATCGAGTCCTCATGAGTCTTGCAATCAAGATCAAATGAGGATAACAAATTGGCAGCATATAATATTACCATATTGTATAGGGTGGGTAGTTTCCATTTGAATTTGCGAACTATTTTCTAGCGTAAACATCGATATAGTCTCACATGCAAAGTTGATCGGCCTACTTCAAATTATATGAGAGTAGATAGTTTATCGAAGTACAACTGATTATGAAATCAAAGCATAGAGTCAAAATCTCGTTAGTGAAGAAATAAAAACTATCCTATTGTGATTCTTCGTTGTTTTTTTAATAATTAGAAAAATCAATCAACAATGTATGCATTACTGAGATGGTTCCTACCACGTAATTGATACAGAAGAGTCATTACAGATGGACATATTTTGAAGCTGAGTTTTTCATTCTAGTTTGAACTTGAAAAAAAGACAAAAGAATATTGATTACTTCATATTCTTTTTCTCGTGGCGTTTTTTTCAAAATCTTTTCACCATTTATAATTGAAATATGAAAATAGTCTTTTGAAGATAAAAACACTCTTTTCAACATGATTGGTCAACATTTGTTGCAACAACAACGTTTACATTATAATCATGATCGGTTACTTGAACGATATCAGCGTCTTCTCTCACCACAAATATCTGAATTTCGGCCATTTGGTTCCAGTTCATTACCAGGTCGGAATTATGAGAGACACTTAAATAGTGTGAATGGTAATCAGAATCAAAGAGACTCGTTAGTTGCACTATCACGAGCAGGAATTGGCTCATCCAGTGAGACATATCGATTTATCGGCGAAAGATCATCGGAAATTCTACCAAAAAATGTGAGTTCTGTCATGAAGCATACTCGAGAACAATCCCTACCATTTGTACATGCAGAAAAATTCGAACCCGTTCAAGTTTATGAACACCCAATATTTGGACTAACGCCTGCTTACATTCGACCTTTAGATAGTAAAAGATCAAATTTGGAGGATATTAATGACGAAGATAGTAGCGATGAGGATGAAAGCGATAATGAAGTTCGATCACATGCAACAGGTGATACTTCTTTAAAACTTGACCAACATGACGAAACAAAAAATTCGTCAACTACTGTTAAAGATAATGATAACGATGATGAAGATCTATCCAAGTTTATTCCTAAAGGATATATATCATATAGACAATGGAAAGAAAAATATGAAAATCTTATTCCAGTTAATCCTCTGCTTTATAGTATTTACACTCGGCGTACAAATGGATCGATTAATAGTTACGGTCAATCATTATATGCATCACTCAATCATACTAGACCTCATAGGCCATCAAATCGTGATGAAGATGTGTCTACTCCAACTCTATCAGATATTGGTTCTGTTTCTTCTGAACTACCTCATGAAACTTCATTATCATCAAGTCGACAGTATCAAAGATTGCAACCAAAATTGCTTCCTGTAACTGTCAAACCACGACCCTTAGAACCGATGCGTACAGGTTAGAATTCACTAATTGATCAATTAACATGAATACTAGAAAATATTCTTAGAGAAAAACAAACAAATGTTTTAATTTGAATTCTAGTCGTGTATCTTTTTGAATACCAAACGAAATCTTCTAGTCCTATTTCTTTTCATTTGCTTAGGAAATAACAATGATTCATTCAACAACGAATCAAGTCCACCTGACTCGCCTGTACCATATTTATCAAGAAATAAACCTAGTTTTATCACGCCAACGCCAGTATCTGAGACTATACCATTAACATCAACGACATCATTATCATCAGTTCCAACAATAGGGCTAACGTCGACACCATCAATATCAACATCGGAAATAACACCAACGTTGAATACATCTATTGATAAAACTACAGGTATTTAAAGGAACCATTCAATACTAAAGGTATCATTTCATTATTGATTTATTTTCTCAACAAACATAAGTTTGAAACATTTGACGAGTCATATTTCATGTTTCTTTCAGTTGATTAAATACTTACTGACCGTTCTTTATTCAAATGTTATTTCTAAACGTATACCTTGATTTTGTTCCATTAATCGGCTCTATTTAAACATGTAAAGAACTGAATTAAAGAAATTTTGATGATTTAGATATATTGCCTTCGCCGTCAGCAACTATAAATACGTCGAATGTTCCTCTTGCACCACCTATGCCTCCGTCTCTACTCGCAACAACACCTACTCCTTCGTACCAAACACCTTCAAATCTCCCAATAGCATCAATTCCGACAGCACCTCCTCTACCTAAAGCTTTCTCAGTTTCAAGTTCAACTGCTACATATCAAACGCCTTCAAATGCCTATACTCCTATGCCATCCGTTTCTAGTTCGATGCCCATGGAAAATTCCACAAAAGCAGTTACTTTTGGTGGTTCATCGTCAATTCTTATAGGACAAAATAATGTTTCAAGTAGTAGTGATAGTGATGATGATGATGCTGAAAAAAAGAAACGTCGACGACGAAAGAAAAAGTAAATAATATTGAACTAATTATTTATTGTTCATATTTATCCATAAAATGTATTCTATTTTTTAGAGAAGCACTAGCCAATACGGGTGTTGCTGTAGATTCATCATCTTCAGACGACTGAAATCTTTGTGGTTCTTTTTTTTCTATAATTCTATTTTATGTATATTTTGAAGAAACTTAATGACCTAAAGGAAATAACTTGTAACTTCTAGCAATTGATTCGAGTCCTTGACATATATATTTTGTTTTTGGCAACTCAATAATTATTTCTTGAGGAAATACTTGACATGTAATAATATGAATTTCCCTCGTTGGCTCCAGTGGTTCATACATTTTTGATGCGCTTATCATGAAAAACTTAAAAAAACATATAATTAGTTACAGATAGATCTTTTTTGTTTATTGAAAGTAGTGTTAGAATTTATCTGTTTCTTTTCAATGAAATAAAACATAACATGAACAAAAAGAGAAAAACGAAATAACAGTTACGATGATCGACGGTATAACAATGTCAACGATAATAACGATCATCACAACTCAAAACACGATTCACAACAATTAAACACAATCAATCGATCGGTCGATCGAAACGTCGATTGATCAAAAACAACCAAAAATAATAACGGAAAAAACAAATATAACAAGATAAATTGAAGGTATGTCGGGACGACAGATCATAACATATTGTTAGATTTTATTTTAGTTGCTTATTATTCATTCTCTCCAAGTTGTGACAAATAAATATGATGTATTATCAATATTTTGACAATAGCTTATTTATTACCATGAAATTCTTTTCAGCATATATATATATATATAAAGAATAGAATTGTGTTTTCTTATCCACATTTACTACTTGATTGAATTCATAATAGAGAAATCTAATAAAACAAGTGAATTAACTTAAATACAGAATTTCAACTAAGATATTAAATAACATCTAGATCTTGTCGTTTCTTATTGGCGTTGCCGCTTTGAATCAGAGAAGCAGCGTGCATTTACAAGAGCTCTTTATAATTACCGGAATAAACAAGAACAGATGCTACTAATTAACTAGACAAACTAGAATAGAAGTAACTTTTCTTTGAATTCTAAAGTATAGTGTTGATTATTATAAATTTTTGCATGATAAATTATACTTTTCTATTTCTCACTTTACTATGATAGAATAGAAAAGCATAAGGTATAATAAGTCTGATAATTCTACATTGATTACAGTATATATATATTAGTGAATTACAACTTTTCGGTAAAATTATAATTTTAGCTGTATTTGCGTAATGACTTTTGATCTACTCCACTGCTTTTAATAATTTTGCATATTGTTATTACGCTGTCTGTGTCCTACTGGCATACCAAATTTCAGCTTTCTAGCTAATACTGTCGAGAATTTATAGATGTTACACTGTGAAAAAAATCGCATGATATAAGGGGGTATGCTACAATAACCATATTTTCTAAATATGAAAACGAGGACAAAAAAAAACGAATATGACATTTTGTAGAGTCTGACACGCTCTTTCAAATGATATGTCTTTTGTATTTCTTGCCGTAGCTTCTCAAAAGAGATACGTTAAAAAAAAACGAATAGCTACTAAATAATTTCATAAATATTTAATTATTGTACAGCTACTTCCAACTTTATTACAGTTATTCAAAGATCATGTATTTATTAAAAATTCTTTGTACCTCTTTAAAGTTTCTACATCAATTAAAAAAATAACATCTCAGCCATATTTCAAACGAGAGACAAACCTTTTTAATATGCTTTCACGCATTTTTCCAAAAAACATCCTGCAACGTACTTCTTTCTCTTTTATATCATTAATACCCCCGATATTGTAAATATTTGAATATTCTAATGGAGCAAATACAGATTCACATTGTGAATACAAAATGTTTTGTTTGAATTTTGGGTTTAAAACAATATAATGATATTCATTCAGTAGTTATGAGATTCATTCAGCAACTATACGATTCATTCGGTAGCTATATGAAACCACTAAGTAGTTATGCTTGAGAAAATGCAGCAGGCTAGAGTAAACTAGATGGTACTCGAGCTTTACTCGAATACGAAATGCGGTGCGAAGCACATACGTAATTTCGGAAATTTATTTTTCAGATAAAATCAATATAATCATTAATAACAAAAAAGTGATGTTGAATTGTAAATGAATTTTGAGAAACCATTGAAAGTGAGATATCGATAGAGACTCTTTGAAAGCTTAGAAATCGATTTTGAAAAGAAGTACATATTATTTGTTATAGAGCACACTACTTTATTATCTATATGTTTGATTTGTTACAATAGGATCCATTTGTAAATGTTGATATTAACGCGCCAAACTTTTAGCATTTTGATTTTCGTTTTAATTATCTCAAAGTAAAATTTGATCAAAATCCTCTTTTTAGGAATCAATTTACGACCAAACAAAAGTAGCTATAATTTTTTTTGAAAAAAATGGTACATCTGTTATCTCGATTTTTGCGTTTCACGTTTTAACGAGCGTTTTTTTATGTTCAGTTGTCTAGATCATCGCGGCAGAAGTTTGCAATATATGCTGTGGACGTCGAGTTTAAAAAAAAAGAAAGTAAGTAAACTCGCGTAGGACTACATAAATGCTGTGCATCGCACCGTATTAAAAAGTATCTCTTTTGAGAATGAGCCATTTCTTATTCCTTCTTTTTTGCCTCCATCTACTTTAAATATGAAATTACAGACACTTTGGCATTTTTGTGTAGACCGATCTTATCGTTCAATTTGCTTCATCTGACTGAAAGTGGAAGGAAAGTGAAGATCGGCAAAAGAAAGGCAACTGAAATAGCAACAAAACAGTAAAATGAAATCCTTCTAAATAACTTTTATTTCCAGTAAAAAGAATCGATTATTTTTAAAAAGTTCGAGTTTGACTCACTTTGTAGAACGACTTTTTTGAAAATTACTGTCTGCATAACTCGTGAGCGGCTTATATGTTTTCGCTCAAATTTGTATCCAAGATATCGTTCTAAAAGTTATATAAGCATAATCAGTCAAAATTTCAACCGCCTATGTCATACTATTCTTGAGAAATTTACAGCATATCACAAAATATAGAACAACTATTTGAAAATTACGTCATGAACAACTCGTGAAAGGTCGGTTTGTTTTTGATCAAATTTTTACTGTAGGCATAGTTTGTATAGTTGCATAACCAGTAAAAGAATCAGTCTTGTTATCTCTTTCTATTAAGGAGAATTGTACAAATTGTGATGTACCTTAAAAGGACGCTTTTCATTAAATTAACAGTTTTTATGGTACATTTACATTGAAGTAAGTCGTATCTCAACTAATATGTAGTAAAGTATTTGGAAAATTTTGCTGTGTAACATGGGCATAGAGTGTACGAAAATGTACTGCTCAAAAATTGCTTACGCCTACTTACAGCTTTTCGCACCAATCGTACCAAAAAGTTGCAATTCACTCAAATATATTCGATACAATTTTTCCAAGAATTTCAAGTTATGATTTTGAAAATAATCAAAAAGCGTGATTTGAGAATCTAACAACAGGATTGCCATTGGATCTCAAATTGTTATTTATTACTTTTATCGAACTATAGTTAACTTCCTAAAAAGTACTGTAGTAACATTATTATTGCACGTACATTAGTTCCATTAGTATTCTTTAAAAGAAACTGAATTGAAATATATGCTATCATTTGATAAGAAAGATCACATTTTCCTGTGAAATTTGAGCCGATAAATGCCCAGTTCCGAGCTGAATAATTACATATTAGATAAAAGATTGCTCTTACTCTTCTTACTAGAAACATCAATTATTCATGTTGGAAGAATCATAAACAAAGAAACGTTTGTAAGATGATATTTCTTCTCGAAGATAAATAAAAATCTAAGCACAAGCAAAAAGGAAAATAAGTACTTTTTGATGCTATTTTTTTTGACCAATTAAAATTGATTCAAAAATCCTGTAAGTTTTATATCAATCTAAAAGTATTTCTGAATAGATTTGAAAGTTCGCAAACGGCAAAATTTTTGACAGGGACTCATCATTGTTCCGGAAATCATTTTTTTGTTTCTTTCCTTTTAATAATTTTTCTGGCGATCTTAGCTGCTTTTTACTTTTATCATATTTTTAATATAGCATGGTTATACACTTGAAGATCTTCGCAACGTACAAGGGAATCTTCTAATTTAAAATTAAGAACTAGAATTAAATTGAGGATTATAAAAATATTTTAGAAGAAACTCTTAGAATAAACCTAATAGCGTGTTTAATTTTCTGCTATACTGTTAATCTTTTTTTTATGCCTTTGTCTCTCTCTTTCGCTCTTTTCTTAATTCTAATTTATATATTTATATATTAGTATCCACATTTAAATCTACGAAATCTTAGATTGGATGTATATTTGACTACGGACACTAACATATGTTGCCCTGACTAAGTCAATTAATGACTGTCATCATCACGTTTTTTTAATGATTCCAAGTATAGAACAATGCATTTTTTGAGAACGGATTGGTGAAAGTTGAGTGCGAGGAAAGATAAGCACGGGAAGTTAAGCACTGGAATTATAAACACAAAAGAAAAAAAAACTTGAAAAAAGAATGAATAAACATAAACTAATTTATGTTAATTAGATCACGTATAGCCATACATCCCAGCGCTTGTCAGGATTCCACCGAAAAAATTATTGCAAAGAACGTCTCCCTCGGGATTTATTAGGACACTGCGATGTACGTATATAACATAACAACATAAACATAATAAGTAAAAATTCTGTACAATAGTCTAATTATTCATTCTAAATGAATACAGAGAACGTAATTAGTTGTGTGTTTGGGAACATGGGTGCTACTCTTATTTTACCTTTTAGTGACACCCACACCCACACCCACACCCCATTTTCTTTAATTCAATCATTTTTCAACTGTCTGAACTATTTTAAAAAGTACATTTTTCGAATAAGCGAGATTCCTTTGGGATATTTAATGATGCTTGTGTTTTCTTTTTACGTTAACTTTTATTGCTGATAAAAAATAACATTTAATGTATCATATATGGGATTTATGAAAAGAGTTTAAAGCTGATTTACTGTACTTTTAGAGATAAGATTATATTCT